AGCTGGCTTTTGCATGATATATAGTTTAAAAAAAAAAAGAACACGTGAAAGTTAGAAGATACATGTTTCAAAAACACAGTGCTGAACATACTGGTTCCTTGGTTTCTGGTAAATCCACGACTTTATGCCAAAGCCTTGTACTATGTGCTGGGACAAGTTGTTCAATTGGAACTTGTCTTTCAATTTTTATTTAATTAATTTATTTTCATCCTTGGCTTCTGATTCTTACTCAAATGCTATGTCAGCCCCATCAACCTCTATGTCCTACTCCCACCTGTCTGGGGAGCTGACCTCACAGAGTCCTCTTGTTAGATTCCTGTCCTAACAGAGGCAAGTTTACCCTCCTCTGCCTACTAAGATTAGCAGTGAGACTTTGAGAAAAATAATTTGGATCTGATTTTGCTTCAAATTGCATCCTGGGTCAAGAGTTAGCAACTTTACATAATGAGAACAAATTTGATTTGTCTCAAGTTTCCAGTTATTTTTAAATTTAGTAGTCTTCACAAGATAGTCATCATTTACAGAAAAACTCTTCTTCTTATTGTTTCTTCTATAAAGTATAATTTTTAAATACTTTCACATGGTTCTACAATCAAAAAAGTATAGAAAGATGAATAATCTGAAAAGTCTCCCTCCCTTTCCTGTTCTACTTATTCTGCTTCCACATGCACAAAAATTGGTGATTATTTTACTAGTTTTATATATATTCTTCTGGAGTTTTTTAAATAAATGAACAAAGCATATGTGTGTATATATTCTTATTTTTCTCTTTTTATTTTACCCAAAAGGTAGTATACCATATGCATTGTTGTGCACTGTTTTTTCATTTAACCATTTATCTTGGAAATCTTTTCATTCAAAACACAGAGCACTTCATTGGTGGCCATGGGTCAGAAATGCCAGGAGCCCAACAGATGAGAGCAGTTTACCAGCACTGATTATCAAGGAGCAGTGGGTGCCAGCAGTGAGAACAGCTGCCTAGTGTCCACACTGGCATGTCTTTTACTCCTCGGAAACTGCCTTGATCCCAGAAAGGGCCCTACCTCGAGAACATTTTATATCCAACCTAATCAATTTTACACATAGCAAAGCAGGGTGGGAGACCAGAAAGTACTTATCCAAAGTCAGACAGCGGTCAGGGACAGAATTGGAGGTTGCTGGTATTCTTCATTCTGGCCCCAAATTCTCCCCACTGTACTACTTACATAAACTTTTAAGGACTTGTCACTACCTGCAGAGTTAATTTCAAATTCTTGTGCCTAGCACTGGTCCTAACTTAGAAGGCAGCAGGGTATGGTGTGGTGGATAGGTCAAAAGTACTAACTTAGAGTCAGGAAATGTGGGTTCTGGTCCTGAGCCCTCTCTGGGCCCCAGTTTCCTCATCTGTGAAATAAGAGGCGTGAACCAGATACTCTCTAAGGTCTCCAAGGTTTTTGACTTCCACCCCCTAACCACACTAAAAAGTCTGGTCTTTGCAGTTATGCTTGGGCTTATGCTGTTAGTTCCACCTGGAATGTACCTTTTGTTTTTCTTCCTCCACATTTCCCAAGGCACACCTTGACTTTTCCTGGTATTTACCTATTCAGAAAATGCTAAACGCTCTCACCTCAGGACTTAGAACCTGCTCTTTCCTCAATTTAGATTGCTCTCCCTCCCAAGAGCCATACAAATTGGTCCTCTTTCTTAGTCCATTCAGTTAAGGGTCTGCTGAAATGAACCTTATAAAGACACCTTCCCTAACCATCTTTTCTAAAATAACACTTCCCCATCATTCTCCTCATTTTATCTCTCTTCACAGTTCTTACTATACATAATAATTTATGTGTTGTCTATCTCACCCTATTGGAATGCAAACTCTATTAAAGCAGGGATTGTTTTTGTTTTGTTTTGTTTTTTTTAACTTAGAACACCTGATACATAATAAGGAATGAGGAGAAACACAGCTCTGAAAAACAGACACTGAAAATAAACCTGACTTACTAGAAAACTCGTAGCTGAAATCTTGCCACATATCTCACACTGCAATGTGAACCCTTTTTGCCAGGGCTTCAGACAAACAGGTCACTGACCATTATGAAACTGAATCTTCCAACTAAAGAAATAAACTTCAAACCTCTGAGCCTTCCTGGCCACCTGAGGTCATCTAGGCTTCCACCCATCATTTCCAGGCTGGTTTTTAATAAAAGCAAACCATCCAACCATCTCTCTAGGTTACATCTCTAAACTCCCCAAATTTATTGCCTTTGGTGGATAAGAAAACCAAGAACTACCTCCACTAAACAGCCTATACTGATACTCAAACCACACCAATTTTTCCTAACCTGAATATTTATAGTATTTACTGATGGGCACGCACTTTAGTGCTAGATCTTACACCATCTTGGTATCATGCCAAATGTCTTCCTTACGTGGCAAAGATTATGTCATGTTTCTCACATATTCCTAAGAGAAATTAGCACAGGGCTTTCTTAGCACAGAAAGATGCCAGAAATACTAAACTGATTTGAACTTAAAATGCAATTATAGTGACTTGTTTTATAAGTACACAAGGAATTTAGAAACAGTCAAACTTAGAACTCTCACTTCCTAAGTTTCAAATTTAATTCATAACCTGCCAAAACAGTACTACTATTCACTTCACCTATATTTTAATTTTGTTTGTAGGCAAACCTCCATAAGGCATTCCACCCCTAACCCCAACAAGGAGAGAGAACTGATCCACCTCCATTTTATACCCAACGATGTGCCAAAAACTCTTCTCCCATAGAACCTATAACAGTATATTATTGCTTTTGTGTTGACAGCTCTGCTCCCCAGGAAGACTGTATGGTCTTCAAAGGTAAGAATACCACTTGATTCATCACTTTTTATCACCTGAGCCTAACACAGTGAAACACACAATAGCACTTAATAACTATTTGAGAATACTGAGAAGAAGAGCATATTACGGAGGAGAGAATGTTAAGAAAAAAAGCATGGAATTGTAAGATAGCCAGTGTGTCCATCTGTACCCCAAGAAATAAAAGAACCATCTTAATTAGTAATAAGAGTGAGGATATACATCAAAACAGTGATGGGGTATAACTACAAAGCAATGAGTTCAGCTTCCATAATTAATTATCATTCCAACTTGGAAATATTTAGATGAAATGACATTCTTCAGAAATATTCTTCTAAAACAAACCTTTATTAACCTTTGCCTGACACTTTCATTGGAAAAACAAAAAGACTACTCAAATTCCACTCCTCTGCTTAAAAATGGAGGAAAATCTAAATCTCATTCTAATATAGGTGGCAAAGTAACTTTTTACAACATGAATAAACATTCTTAATTATACTGAAGCCCTCTAAGCTGAATGGGAGTTACTGAACTTTGAAATATGCATGAATTATCCTATAACTTCTATTTAAATTATCATCACTCTGGAATGAAGAAATGTCTCCTGTGGTCAATTCTTTCAAGTAACTAGAGCTATTAGTCAAAGTTTCAACTAATGAAAATTCCATCTTTGCTAAGTCTATAGAATACCTAACTACATTAATTCTTCCAACTTTCTCAAGTACAGACTGGCCTCAAGATTTGGAACCATGTTTCCTGCCACGAGGGGGCTGGTTATTTTTCACCACATTCTTGCTCCGAAGCTGAAGAGTGAGGGGTGCTTCTGCCAGAGTCTGCTAGAAGGAGGCAGAACACTACAGAGAATCTGTGGCCTTTGGAGTTAGGTTTGGGTTTAGATCTTTACTCTGCTACCCACCAACAGTATGACTTTGACAAGTTATTTGGTCTCTCGGAACCTCTACTTCCAAATTAGTACAACAGGAATAATTCAAACTTTCTAGAGCTGTTACCAAGACTACATTATATTACATATGTAAGTGACTAGCACATAATAGGGACTCAATAAATGTTAGTTTCTCGTCTCATTTTTCTTGTAGCCACAAAATTCTTATTCAACACTCTTTATTAGAGCAACAGCTCTGTTTCCTGCTTTGGAGCCATTTGTAGGCCTGATGGCTGTCAGGTCACAGTTCATTAAAACATTTACACATGTGACGGTCTGTACCAGTTCATTAAAAGAAAGAGGTCTTGATGGAATAAAAAAGAAAAGCTTCATAAGCTGTCAGTCTCCTGTCTTGGTTCAAGAACAATGTCTTAACAGTCTAAATGCTTTCAAAATTCTTTTCTTTATTTTAGCTCCCACAGACTTGTGGGAATTATCACTGTCATTAGAGTGAATAACCAATACATTTATTCTGAAGAAGCTGCTAGCCAGGGAAATCACTGGAAGGAATCTTCGTACAGAAATCCTTGGCAGAATTCAAGGAAAAATTTAGTTTGCAAAATTATAAATTCTAACAATTATGAAATCCATTTTTCTCCTATGAATATGGGCTGGTTTTAGAGAGAAATTCTTCTCTGGATTTATTTTCCTACTCTAGTCCAGATTTATTTAGCTAAACATTTACAGAAAATTGGTAAACTACTGTAATAGTAGCTATTTATATGGTTAAGTCACGACACAGTGCTAAATATCTCCTGAGGAGAAAAACCAGTATAGGAGTTAAACCAGATGACAAATGTACACTAGAACAGAGAACGTCTAGTAGTGCCTAGCATTTTGTTTATGGTTTGGTGAATTTTACTATTTCAGGATTTTTTGTTTCTCAAGGATAGTTTGTTACTATTTCTATTTTATAATTGAGTAGAAATGTAAAAATTCCCTTCCTCTATCCTTCTAGTACATAAGAAAAGGACACTAGTTGGCAAGCACTATTTTTATGTTGACAGCCAGAGCTATTTTGAGCCTGTTTAGTACTATCCAATGTTTATGCCAAGGAAAGAGGTTAGCATGACATTAGCAAGCGAAAGAGTAAATTCTCAGTTTTTGGTAATTTAATAAGCACATATCTTTTGAATAACCCAAAAGTCTACCTCTTGGTCATAAATAATAATGCAATTCATCAACATACACCATTAAACCATAATTAGAAAGTCCTACCTTTTGTGCATCTCCTGTGAAATACGCAATGGCCAGGGTGGGCAGAATCATGAACAGTGCATTATAATAGAGCAGACCATATTTTCCCAGCTCCTAGAATAGTAAATAATTAGGTGTTTCATTTAGTTCCAGCAGATAGATATATATAACCCTGTACGGAGTACTGCCCGAGTTATATACATATACACAAACACGCACACCCCCGCTTCACATACACAGTAAATTAGTTAAGTCAGAAGTTCTGTAAACATTAAGAAATAGCCTAAACTTTCAAGAGACCAAAAATAAAGGCAAGTTTATAAGATTTTAAACTTATTTGAAATAAATTCCTCAAATGCTTAAGATCAGAGAAATAACAATGACATCAACTGGCAGCCTCAAAACAGCAAGGAAGGAAGAAGTTCTTTTGAACACGCACATGTCTACATAGAAGCACATCCCTGAAGCCTCTCTCTTTTCAGAATTGAATCAAGAGTCATCAAGCTAGTCTGGGCTTTTCAAAAGCAAAACACAGTGTCATTAAAGAGAGATGGATGGTCAGATCCAGATACAGACTCAGACCTAGACCAAAACAGCACATCCCAGTGAAGTATTTCTGAAAGTATGTATGTGAAGCACAATGAAGATTAAGATTACTTATAACTACAACTCCCAAAACACAATATATCTAGTTGTGCCCTTAGCTACTGGGGAGTAACAACACATCTTCAAACATAGGGAGCCTGTAAGAACTCTTGGGTCCACCTTTGATTCACACACTTCTGGGATATTCAGCAGGAAGTAGAGTCATCTAAAAAAAATAGGCCAGGTTTTAATGGGGGGGTGGGTAGTGGAGGAGTACTAAGTATCACTGAATGATGTGAAGAGTGAAACTATTTTCTCAAAAGAGAAAAACTGGAAACAAATATCCAACAATAGAAAACTAGCTGAGTAGACTATAATACAGCTGTACAATAAAACATTATACTGCCACTATTAATAAAACTCTTTAATGATGCTGATTGTCTTGGAAAGGTGTTCACAAAACAGCACTAAGTGAAAAATGTAAGTTAGAAATTATTATATATCATCCCTCTTTTGTTTAAGTTTTTTTTTTCCCCCCCCAAAGAGACAGGGTCTGGCTCTGTTGCCCAGTCTGGAATATAGCAGTATGATCATAGCTCTCTGTAACCTCAAATTCCTGGGCTCAAGTGATCCCTTCTCCTTAGGTTGCTAAGCAGCTAAGACTACAGGGGCACACCATCAAGCCCAGCCAATTGTTCAAAAAAAATTTTTGTAGAGGTGGGGTCTCACTATGCTGCCCAGGCTGGTCTCGAACGCCAGGCCTCAAGCAAGCCTCCCACCTCGGCCTCCCAAAGTGCGTGAGCCACTGTGCCCAGTCTAAAATTTTTAAATAAAGATAAGTGTGTATGTACACACATACAATAAACGATATCTGGAAGAATTAAGGGAGACTGATATTTTCTTCCTCTTGCTTACCTATGTTTTCTACTACTTCCATCATAAATATGTATTATTTTATGTGTTTAAGTTAAAAGTGTTTTAAATTCAATAGCTGCATTCAGGTCTAAAATGCAGCACAAAGTCTTTATGCCGTATGATTCATGCTAAAAGGACCATGATTATAAGCAGTCCTGAAATTGTAAGTTAAAAAAACTCCTGACCTATTAAAAGCATCTCAGTGTGGTCATACTGGATATACCAAATAACTGCTTGCTTATGGTCACCACAAACATCAGTGAAAAGGTATGCCTCATTTGTAAGGCAGCAAGAAAAAAGCCATTCTGGGACAACCTTTAAGAATGGGTGCCCAGTCAGCCAGAGACATGAGTGTTATTCAGGAAGTAGAGGATGGGCACGCAAACGCACACATAGACACACATCCTTCAGATAACTGATAAACGACAAAAAACCTAAATGCAAAACTGTTCTATTTTTCTTTTCGCATTTTAACTGTTCTGAATATCTCTCCCCCTGCCTTCTTAAACATAGTACACTAAAATTTGACTCAGAGCACCATCATAAACAAGCATTGTCTTATGATGCATCATTATGCATCATAAACCTGCATTATGTTTACGTATTATGCTCTTATACAATGTTGCCCTTATAGCTGTTTACCAGTCCCTGCATCATTTCTTTTTCAGTAATTGTCTTTTACAGTTTTCCTGTTGTTTCTCTTGTTGTTAGCTGACCTTTTATATTGCAGGTAAGCCTCTCTGCCTCTAAATAGTATTCTTCCTTCTGGTCTGTTGCTTCTAATCCATGAATTAGGAAAAGCAAATCAATGAGCTCAAAAGTTCTAAAATAAATAAGTCCTAAGTCATCTCTAAGTGAGGAACTAAAGGCTCCCCAGGAATAAAATACTCAGAAACCCTCTTTATTTTTTTTCTAGGTTCTAGGATGTACTCTGGATTGTGCTGTCCAATATGGTAGTCACTAGCACCACATGTAGCTATTTACATTTGATTATAATTACATAAAACTACTGATTCAGGCCCTCAGTTGTACCAGTCATTTTTCAAGTGCTCAATAGCCACCCATGGCTAGTAACTACTGTTAAGAGACAACAGAGATACAGAAGATTTCCATCACAGAAAATTTTATTGAACAGTGCTCTTTTAGACAACTGAAGCTGCTACACAAAATGTTATTAATAGCACCTATTTTCCAAAGCAGCAAATAGGCTGAAGGAAAAAACAGAGTAAGACCAAATTCCTAACCACTACTTTTTTCCTAGCTACTTTTAAAAGTTATAAATTTTTACTAGCAGCTTCCATTAAAATGCAACCAACATACAGATTCATCAAGGCAACTAAATGGAGGACAAGACATAAAAGGTATATTTAAAGGAACCGTGCTAAAAACAAATCTACACTGTACCTAGTTCTTCAATGATATCCCCCCAAAATTCTCTGAAAATAATGAAACCTCTTCGGATGGACATACAATCCATAATTCTTTTCAGGAGAAGAAAGCAAAGCACCTGGGCAAGACAACACCAGCTCAAAATATTACTACTTTCGAGTAGGTAGGGCATTTGTATTTATTTGTTATCTGAGCTCCCAAAAAGGATATGAAGCAGTTTCAGAAATACTGTACATATAATAGAAGAGACTAAAAACTAAGCAGATAAGGTCATTTGACTGGAGAGAAAATACAGGTAGGAAAGTAAGATAAAAGTCATGGTCAGTCACAAGATTTAATTATGAGATAAAAATGTACCAGCTGCTCAGGAAAAACTATGATGACATCTAAGATAAATATCTCATATTGGTCCTCATATAGGATACATTATGATATCAAGGACAATTCCTTCAATAACCACCCTAGGATATATAAAGTTGAGTTGCATTTAACTGTTTCTTACAGTAATGTAATCTCGTAACATAGTGTAGCAAAAGCAATGGGATTCAAATACTCGGCTTTCTGACGTTCTGGCTTGATCTAAAATAAAATTTAATGTGTCCATTTCCACAGTATATAGTAAATGAAAAATATCTCGTAAAGCCTTTGTGTGTTTGCTGCAAGTAAAGGGCAAAGAGCCAGGTATATGAAGTTCACATGTATGAGATCTAGGCCACACAACTCAGTGTTGCCCCTGAGAGAGAGATCCTAATGCTCCCTAAAGTTTCCCATTATTTAGGACAAACAAACAAAGGCCATCTTTGTTTTGCAGGCGCTTCGAACCTTTCAACACTCAGTTCTCTTCAAGCCTACCCAGAGATTTCCAGATATTTTTCTTTCTCATCCCAGGTCCCTCACCAAGTCCTCCAGAACAGTGGTCCCCAATCTTTTTGGCACCAGGGACCAGTTTCACGGAAGACAATATTTCCACTGACGGAAGAGGTCGGGGGATTGGGGCAGGCAGTGATGTGCAGGCCAGTTCCTAACAGGCCGAGGACCAGTACCAGGCCTCGGCCCGGGATATGGGGACCACAGCTCTAGAAAACAGCCATGAACACAACACTTTCCTCTAATGAACAACTCTTATTCTCCCTACCACATTCTGTGTTAATAGTCACATAATCTCCTCCATAAAAGCCAGCAATAAAATCTAACTGCTAATTAATTAATTAAAAAATAAAGTTTCTTATGAAAACAACAAAGTATAGGCATTTTACCCTCTAACAGTCCCCATGTTTTTCCCATCCCTCCTAAGTTTCTTCTTTATCCCCCATTTTTTCACTGATGAATTGACATTGCTATTCTCAACATCAGTATATATCTGTTAAAGAAGCTTTAAATTGCTACCTACTTTTGAATCTAATTTTTGTTTTACGTATGCACCATTTGCTGCCGTCAGGACATCATTTATCAGAATAAAAACATATCCTTCCAGATCAAACGCCAAGTCAGAGCTGCAAAACATATGCAATACTTTTTAATAACGACTTACATTTAAAGAACACGCATTTAATTTTAAAAAGGTCTATACTACAATATTTACAAGAACGTATTCTTATTTAGGTAAGTGAACATTAGGCATTTTATCAGCTACTAGCAATTTTTGATTCCTGGTCACAATCTGCAATTTCATATTCAGTAAGAGGTTCTTCGGAAATGAGAAGCACTAACACTTAAACACATAATTAGTAATAATCAATCGTGTCAGTCAATAGCACACTGCTCTGAATTCTAAGTCAGATAACAAGCAACCAAATTTACCATTACTGTACATCTCTGAAGGAGGCAGAAGGCATCAGAGTTCAATTTCACAGGAAAGGAGACCAAAAGGATGAAGCTGTCAACATATCATTTTCCAAAGGTTCACACAAAACGTAGGACTACCCTGCACAGGTAGTTGAGCCCTGTGGAATTTCTTAAGTGTGGATCATGGTTAATTCCGAGATCAAGCTAAAATAGCGTGTAACCACATATTAATAGTAGGAGCTCAAATACTTAAATAATTGCTCGATGACCCTATGAGATATAACTATGGGGATTAGGGAAACTGAAAATTTCTGGTACTTAATAGAGTACCAGGCACAAGATAAGAACTTAGTAAAATTAATAAATGAAAATCTGAGAAAAGCATGCCTTCAGCATACTTCAGCACCCTAGGTAAAATAGTGGCCCCATATTCTATGATTTTGCAGAGATACTATATACCTATAACTAAACTACTAAATGGAACCAAGACTTCTGAGGAGCTCTCTGCCTCTCCAATTTTAGGCAGGACTAGCTTAAGGCACACTCCCTACCCGAAGCAGTCTAACAACCCTTTGATTAACTTCAGATTCCTTTCCTACCAATCTCTTTCCCAAGTCAAAGGTTCTAATTCGGCAAGACTGGTCCAGATAGCAATCCTTGTCAGAAGCTTCTTGCAGATCGGAGTAAGCCTCAAGAAACCCCTGTTGTATGGTACTATTTTGGATCCCATCAGCTTCAAGGAAATTCTTCAAAGACTAGCAAGGCACCTCTAAAAAGAAAGGTTGGAGGCTAGTACAGAATTTTTCTCCAAGGAGGCAATATGACCTAGAGAGAAAAGTAGTCAGCTATATAACCAATTTCTAGTAACCAATTATGCTACCCTCTTTTCTTTTTTTTAGATAAAATTTCACTTAGAGATTGAGGGTAAAATAGAATTTGACTTATAATACTTTCCCACACCTATACCACAGGGATATGAGGAAGGCAAATGAGCCAATCTAAGAAGCACACTCGAACTCCCCAATGGAAAATGTATGTCAGACAGAATTTGTGGCACTAGCAAATCCATATATGCATGCCCTAGACTGAGTAAAATGTTATAGAAGGCTTCTAACAATCATTTTAATTTTGTGAATCTCTGGGTGTACATTTTCACCAAATACTTTAAAACTAAAATTTAAGTGGAAAAAGCTTTAATAATCTAATAGAATATCTAAGTTATGACATTTGTGATACATCTTATGTGAGGCCAATTAAAGCAATGCTATTATCATTATTCCAAAGGCAAATGATTCATTGTCATTTTCCTCACCTCACAGAAGACATTCTTTTCTTTAGCAGCATGCAAAATAAAAGAATGCCATATGGTTTAAAAAAATCACATAGGCTCTGAAGTCAGGCACAGATTCAAATTCCAGCTTTGCCATTTACTAGCTTTGTGACTTTGAGCAAGTTTCTGAACTTAAGTTTTAGTTTCCTCAACTATAAAATAGGAAAATTATACCCATACCTCTCAGAATTGTTGTGAAGAATACATAATAATATGTGTAAAATGCCAAACATATTGTGTGGCACATGGTATGTGCTCAGTAAGTAGAAGACAGTAACAAATCCTAAATTATATGAATTTAACTTTTAAGAATTCCAAGAATTGTAATTTTGCCAGTCTTGATCTTAATACAGCCCAAAAAAATTCAACCTTTTGAAGAGTCTTTTGGCTGTTTTTCAAAGATATGATTCTTTTTAGGCCATAAAGAATTGTTATTGACAAGTGACTGTTTATTATCAGTAATTATTGATAATTTCTAATGTGCTATACATAGGTCTACATCTTACCTGGCAGCTACAAAGGCTCCAATAATCATTGCAAATACAGTCATTTTAATACCCCAAGAAAAACTCTTCCTACAAAATAAAATAATTTAAAAATATACATGTGACTTTAATTATTCACATAGACTCATTTTATAACACAGGCAAAAAAATGTAACTTTTTCCCTCAAAAAAACCTATAAACAATCATATTTTAAATGTTTCTGAGAAACTGGATATTTAAAAGAACCCTTTTGATGAAGCCAAAACTCGTTTTGTTACATAAATAATTATACTCAGTTTTTTCTTATCATCATTTGTTATTAACAGTGAGTTTGAATTTCTGTAAATCAGAATTTCTTTAAATAGAGAAAGGTCACATACAAAAGGAGCTAAGACATGAACACTATTTAAAACTTTTAATACCTATGATTCTGACCCAGCCTCTCCAATTGGCAGCAGTAGGCACAGAAATTCTAGAAAGTAAACCTCATGTTCAGACAGGTTTCCAACTTCAATTCACAACCTTCCCAACTATCGCTCCCGCAAACTATCAGTTCCAATAGCCAAGGGAGAAGGGTGCTTAAACTTCTCAAAAGTTGAAGTAGAAACAAGACAATTTTAATATCTCACATATGATGGGCACTTCTTCAATGTGATTAAAGTTGTTTAAAGAATAGATAAACCAGAAATTTAGCTCACTTGAGTAAAACTCCTTCAGCAAACATTGTAAACAGGATGGAGAACCTTCTTAGAACTGTAAACATTGGCAAGCTGCAAA